CCCCCATAACCACCTTCACACCCGCAAACCATCCCATCTCCTACTCCCACTCCTATCCCATTATTCATTAAGATTCATTTTTAATTATCTTTATATACAGAAGACCAATTCTATACTAAGTAAAGATTTCAACAGTTTGCACCCACACAGATACACAAAGTGCAAAGTTCTGTTTGAAAAGTAATTTTACTGTTAATTCTCATAATGCAACACATTAAAGACAGAAGTCCTACAAGGGGAGCAAGTGCACAGTGACTCCTGTTGTTGATTTAGAAATTGACACTCTTTTTTTTTTCCCCCACAGGCAGAGTTAGACAGTGAGAAAGAGACAGAGAGAAAGGTCTCCCTTCCATTGGTTCACCCCCAAAATGGCTGCTACAGCTGGCGCGCTGTGCCGATCCGAAGCCAGAAGCCAGGTGCTTCCTCCTGGTCTCCCATGCGGGTGCAGGGCCCAAGCAGTTGGGCCATCCTCCACTGCACTCCCGGCCACAGCAGAGAGCTGGACTGGAAGAGGAGCAACCGGGACAGAATCCGGTGCCCCAACCGGGATTAGAACCTAGAGTGCCAGTGCCGCACGCAGAGGATTAGCCAAGTGAGCTGCAGCATAGGCTGAAATTGATACTCTTACTTATGATGTCAGTAATCACCCAAGGCTCTTGTCATGAGCTGCCAAGGCTATGGAAGCCTTTTGAGTCTACAAACTCTGTCAGTATTTAGACAGGACCATAAGCAAAGTGGAAGTTCTCTCCTCCCTTCAGAGAAAGGTACCTCCTTCTTTGATGGTCCCTTCTTTCAACCGGGATCTCACTCACAGAGATCTTTCATTTAGGTCATTTTTTGCCAGTGTCTTGGTTTTCCATGCCAGAATGCTTTGATGGTCTTTTCAGCCAGATCTGAATGCCTTAAGGGCTGATTCTGAGGCCAGAGTGCTGTTTAGGGCATTTGAAGAATATCCTTTATTATACCTTTAAGAAAACATGATATAGACTGTATCATTATTTATTACTATGTAATAGCCACCCCCAAAATTAATGGTTTAAAAGAACACCATTCTGTTTGTTCCAGTTCTGGGAGTCCTCAGTTTGGGCTGGACTTAGCTGGGTGGTTCTTCTGCTGGCCTTGGCTGTGGTTACTCTGTGGTTGCAGTGTGACTGAGATGAGTGGCGTAAGACAGCCTCACTCACGGTGGTTGGTGCCAGCTGTCTGCAGAATGTCTTTCCCTGTGGTTCTCATGAGGAAACTAGTCCCAGCATCTTGACGTGGTGGAAACATCAACAAGAGTAGAACAGAAGCTCCAAGGTCTCTTGAGGATTAGGCTTGGCAGTTGCACAGTGTTAACTTCTCCTGTGTTCTACTAGCTGAAGCCATCACAAGGCCAGTGAAGCTCCACGTGAAGGGGAAACAAACTTCACCTCTCGGTAGAGGATGCAAGGAATTTGTGACCATTTTTAATTCAGGAGTGTAGACCACAAAAGATGTAGAACACAACTAAACATTGTTCAGAGAAATAAGAGACATCAGTAGACGAAGGCATTAAACCATGCTAATGCACAGGGAAATTTAGTGTTGTAAAGTATTTGACTTATTCCTCCAGTTAACTATGGATTCAATACAATCCTGATAAAAATTCCAGCAATTTTTATGGCAGTTGACAGACTTTTTCTAAAAATTTATATCCAGTTGAAAAATGCAAAGAAGAAAAATAACAATGTTGGAGAATTTACACTGTAAGATTTCAAGAATTACTACAAAACTAACAGTAATTAAGACAGCATGTTATTGTTACAAAGAAGAACAAAATGAAATGGAAAGATGCATCGAGAAACAGACAAAAACAGTTACTTGATATGACAGAATTTACATTGTACTGCAAAAGGAAAGGATGGTCTTTCAGTCAGTATGACTTTGTCAATTAGATATTGATCAGGAGAAAATGAATCTTTTTTAAAATTTTTTTTAAAATTTTTTTTGACAGGCAGAGTTAGAGAGAGACAGAGAGAAAGGTCTTCCTTTTCTGTTGGTAACCCCCCAAGCGGCCGCTACGGCTGTTGCGCTGTGCTGATCCAAAGCCAGGAGCCAGGTGCTTCCTCCTGGTCTCCCATGTGGGTGCAGGGCCCAAGGACTTGGGCCATCCTCCACTGCACTCCCGGGCCACAGCAGAGAGTTGGACAGGAAGAGGAGCAACTGAGACTAGAACCCGGGGTGCCAGCACCACAGGCGGAGAATTAGCCTAGTGAGCCGAGGTGCTGAACAAGAAAATGAATCTTGATCGCTTCTTTACATGGTACATAAATAGAAAGTCTAAGTAGGTTATAAATTGAAGTGTGAAGAGAAAAACTGTAAAATTTCTGTAAGTAAATATATGGAAATCTTTTCCTGACCTTGATTTAGGTAGCAGTTTCTTTTTCTTTTCTTTCTTTCTTTTTTTTTTTTTTTTTTGACAGGCAGAGTGGACAGCGTGAGAGAGAGACAGAGAGAAAGGTCTTCCTTTTTGCCGTTGGTTCACCCTCCAATGGCCGCCACGGCTGGCATGCTGCAGCCGGCGCACCATGCTGATCCGATGGCAGGAGCCAGGTGCTTCTTCTGGTCTCCCATGGGGTGCAGGGCCCAAGCACTTGGGCCATCCTCCACTGCCTTCTCGGGCCACAGCAGAGAGCTGGCCTGGAAGAGGGGCAACAAGGACAGAATCCGGCGCCCCGACTGGGACTAGAACCCGGTGTGCCGGGGCCTCTAGGTGGAGGATTAGCCTAGTGAGCCGCGGTGCCAGCCAAGGTAGCAGTTTCTTAACCAGGACACAGAAGACTCTTCTGATAAAGAAAATGATTGATAGAGTGGATTTTCTTAACACTAATCATGTCTGATCATAAAGACCCCATTTAAAGAGTAGGAAGATGAGACACAGATGGCAGAAGAAATTTGCAGCATGTCTATTCAACAGAGGACTTGTATACAGAATACAATATATGCAGGAAAATCTCCTGTAAAGCAATGAGAAAAAAAAAAGACAAAAAGCAGCAGAAAGACTTGAATTGGCACATCACACACATAAAAACATCAGATGACCAGTATGTATGTTAAAATGTCCTTCATCCCATCTTTCAACAGGCAAATGGACATTAAAACCATCGTGAGACACTATTATGCACACATCAGAATATATGCTTTAAAAATTATCTGTGCCAAGTATTGATGAGGATGTACAATAACAGCAAAGTGTGTAGATTGCTCAAAGGAGGGTAACTTGTTTCAACTTCTTTGTTAGACTGTCTGGTAGTATATGCTAAGGTTGAGTGTCTTTTTATGACCCAGCAATTCCACCGCTGTGTGTAGTTGTCCAAAAAAATGCATATAAATGTGCCCCAAAAGACAGCCTAAGAATATTCCTAGCAGCATTATCAATGTCAAAAATTTGAAACAGCCCAACTTTTCATCAATAGTAATAGTATATTGTGCTTTCTTTGTGCAATGCACAAATGAAAATGAATAGCGTTCAGCTATATTGAACAACCTAGTGACTCACATATATAATGTTGTCTATAAGAAATCACATACAGAGGCCAGCGCTGTGGCGTAGCGGATAAAGCTGCCGCCTGCAGTGCCAGCATCCCTTATGGGCGCCGGTTCTAGTCACAGCTGCTCCACTTCCAATCCAGCTCTCTGCTGTGGCCTAGAAAAGCAGTATAAGATGGCCCAAGTACCTGGGCCCCTGCACCCACATGGGAGACCCAGAAGAAGCTCCTGGCTCCTGGCTTCAAATCAGCCCAGCTCTGGCTATTGTGGTCATTTGGGGAGTAAACCAGTGTATAAAAGACCTCTCTTTCTCTCTGCCTCTGCCTCTCTGTAACTCTTCCTTTCAAATAAATAAATAAATCTTTCAAAAGAATAAATCACATACAACGAAGTACATAGTTACCATTTATACAAAATTCAAAGCAAGAAAAACTGATCTGCTGTGATAGAAGTCACGATAGTGGTTATTGCAAGAAGGGCAGGGGCGGTGACTGGAGCCTGCACGTCGGGAAGGACTGCCTTACCCTCTGCTCTCTCATCTGCTGGTGGTCACACTGTTGTCCACACTAGGGTATCCACTGATCAAAGAGTAAAACAGGAATGGGGCCTGCACTGTGGTGTGGCATCCCATATGGGTGCCAATTTGTGTTTCACTTCCAATCCAGCTCTCTGCTAATGCACCTGGGAAAGCAGCAAAAGATAGCCCAAGTGCTTGGGCCCCTACCTGCCACATGGGAGACCTGGATGGAGCTCCTGGCTTCGGCCTGGCCCAGCCTTGGCTGATCTGGTCATTTGGGGAGTGAACCAACAAATGAGAGGACCTCCCTCTCTGTCTTTCCCTTTCTCTCTGTAGTTCTAGCTGTCAAATAAATAAATCTTTTTAAAACATTAAAAAAAAATGAGAAACACAGATGTAAAACAGATCAAAAGGAATTATGCTATGAAATTTTTTTTATAAGATATTTTTTATTTATTTGAGAGGTAGAGTTAGTTTCAGAGAGAGGGAGAGACAAAGAGAAAGGTCTTCCATTTGCTGGTTCATTTCCAAAATGGCCACAGCTGTTGGAGCTGGGCTTATCCAAAGCCAGGAGCCAGAAGCATTGTCTGGGTCTCCCATGCGGGTGCAGGGGCCCAAGCACTTGGGCCATCTTCTACTGCTTTCCCAGGCCATAACCCAAGAGCTGGAAGGGAAGAGGAGCAGTTGGGACATGAACTGGTGCCCGTATTGGAACCTGGTGCTTAGCCTACTCTGCTGCAGCTCTGGTCCCACTTTTTTTTCTATGTGATATCTGTGACTTTGGGTATTGTGTGGTATGTATGTATGTATTCCTACTATTTTACTTTTGTAATTATAGGGAAAATATTTATAAATATCAAAACCTTGACCCTCATTGGAAACTTAACATGACTTATAATGGAATCCAGAATCACAGTACCATGGAAAAACATCATATGACTAAAGAATGTCATTTTCTTTCTTCCCTAACTAGGCCTTAAAAAGCACCTTGGGATTTCCATTGATTCGGTTTGAAGATGCTGTAATCAACCTGGATCCGTTCACTCGAGTACATCCCTATGAGACTAAGGAGTTCATCATCAATGATATTCTCAAACACTTTCAGGAGGTAAGCTTTGAGGAAGGATTTTGTGACTGGTGCACAACTGGAAGGTTGGTTTTGGCTGTTGGGAAATCTTGGTTACGAGACATTGCTACTGAGAGAGTTAAACATTTAGTGCTGTTGTTCTGGGTCAGGGTCCTTCCCGTGATGCTACACAGATCATGAAAATCCTGAGACAGTGCATTTGTCTTGTGCCTCAGAGCTAGTCTCGGGGGCTTCTGCTAGGTTGGTCACAACTCTTAGTGGTTTACTTGATGCTTCAGTAACAACTCAAAACACGTGAGCTCCTCATTTGTAAAGCCTGCTTTCAACATCTGCACAGTGTTCTCCAGTCCAATCCTGCTCTTGGACTCGAGGGTTTTTTTTTTTTAAAGATTTATTTATTTAATTTGAAAGGCAGTTAGAGAGAGAAGTGGGGGGGTCTTCATCTGTTGCTTCACCCCCCAAATGGCCATAATGGCTGGAGCTGGGCCACACTGGAGCCAGGAGCCAGGAACTCCATCCTGGTCTCCCACGTGGCTGCAGGGACCCAAACACTTGAGCCATTTTCTCCTGCTTTCCCAGGCACATTAGCAGGGAGCTGGATCTGAAGTGGAGCAGCTGGGACTCAAACTGACACCCATATGGGATGTTAGTGCTGCAGATGTTGGCTTTACCCACTATGCCATAATGCCAGCTCCAAACTCGAATTTTTCTTTTAATCAAGTTGGACGTTTTCTATTTTGTATTTATGACTGATTGTAAAGACCAGAATGTAGGCCACAACATATTCTTTGATTAATAGATAGGTGTGACGCTTGTATCAAATATACTAGCTTTCAGAATTAAAATATGTTCTATTCCTGTTTGCTCTTCCCTCCCTCGTTTCTTTCCTTGACTGTCTTAGCTGGTGATGTTTCCTCTGGACTGTGAGCGGAGTGCTACCCCTGGAGGCTGGGATCAAGGAAAGTGGCCTGCTACTTGACACGTGTGACCAGGCTCTCTTGAGGTCCCCAGCCCTCCTGTCTGAGAGGAGCGACAAGTCTACCCTTCTCCCTCATTTTCCTTTTAAAACTCTCCCTGCACCTGATTAATCCTCTCTTTGTAGGAGTGATGGAGAGTGTGATGTATGTTCTAATAAATACTCATAAAGAATTTCTCTTATTTCATCACTGTTTTTATTCTTTTAATTGGCTTTGAAAAGTGTTTCTAAGGCATTTAAGGCAATCTCTGGGATATGTATAGTTGGAAGAGTGTGGGGTGGGGCAGAAAGGACAGGCGATGATTTTGCAGTTGCTACAGTCTGAAAGGCAGCTGTTGGTAGTACTGGGAATGAAGGACAGTTTGAACCGTTTTGCTGGGGACACTGGTAGCTGCCAGTGTAAATGGTTGCTGATTGGGTTTTCCTCTCCCTTCTCACTTTGACAGGAACTCCTCAGCCAGGCAGCTCGTATCCTGGGGTCAGTGGATTTTCTTGGCAATCCCATGGGGCTACTGAATGATGTATCTGAAGGTGTTACTGGACTGATAAAGTACGGGAATGTTGGAGGCCTTATCAGAAATGTTACACACGGCGTGTCAAACTCCGCAGCCAAGGTAAGAAAGCACAGTCAGACGTGACCTCCTGAGCCTGCTATATCACCAAGATCTGGCAGTGCCTAGGCTGTGAGAAGGGGTGGGCACAGCCTTTGTTTTACTGTCCCCTGCCTTGCTGTTCCCTCACTTCCAGAAATCAAGGATACTGAGCACTCCACTAAAGCATTTCTTTTCTTTTTTATTTTAAGATGTATTTATTTATTTGAAAGGCAGAGTTATAGACAGAGAGAGGGAGAGACAGAGTTCTTCCATCTGCTGGTTCACTCCTCAAGTGGCTGCAGCAACCAGGGCTGGGCCGGCCTGATGCCAGGAGCTTCATCCAGGTCTCCCACGTGGGTGCAGGAGCCCAAGCTCTTGCACCACCTTCCACTGCTTTTCCCCAGGCCATTAGCAGGCAGCTGGATCGGAAGTGGAGCTGCTGGGACAGGAACCAGTGCCCACATGGGACACCAGCATCGCAGATGGTGGCTTCACCCACTGTGCCACAATGCTGGCCCCTAAAGCATTTCTCACTTTACATTCCCTTTGCCTCCATCCAGGCTGTGCTCAGCTCCTACTTGATCAGTGCAGTAGCTTCCTGACCCCTTGGAGCTGATGGCATCGTCCACAGTGCCTCCAAAGTGAACTCCCTTTCCAAAACAAAGTTGCATCATGGGCCTTATCCTGCCTGAAATCTCCCAGTTAACCCCCACAGTTCCCATCGACCGTGCAAAAGGCAATGCAGTCTTCTGTGGTATCATTGTTCTTCAGTTCACCTGAATCCAGCAGTGTGAGGACTTGCAGCCGGTGGACTTTCTGTTCACTGTCTCTTTTTCATGGACGTTCATTTATTTTCCGGTAGAAGCTGACTTTACATGTGAAGCTGGAAAAGGCAACGGTAGTTGGAGGTGTCTGCTATTTGATAGTCTGTGATGGGGCTCAGGGAGCTCCACTGTCTTCCTCCTAACAGCTGAACAGACTTTCCCTAGAGAGATTGATGCTGGATGTGAGAAAGCTCCTGGGGCATCTGCGTGGTGAGACCGTGGATGCGTTTATTTTGTGGGACTATGGAAGGTGAGAGTGGCTTGATAAAGTTTGAAAAGCTTGAAGCTCGGTCAAGTTGGAAAGAGTCTTGGATGCTGCTCTGTAGGCATCCTGCTGACGAGTGGGTAGGAGAGTGGAGTTGAATGGCACACGTACGTCGTGTGGCATCCCTGGTCATGCATGGAAGCTGCGGATTCATTCCTTTTTTATAAATATTTTCTAGAGATGCTAGTTCTCTTGTCAGATCATTTTTTTCAATACTGGGGTGTTAGTGAAGTAGAACAAAAATGTGCTGTTTGGCTTTGTGGTTTAAAATAGGCAAAGCTGGGGCCGATGTTGTGGCATAGTAGGTTAAGCCACTGCCTGTGGTACCAGCATCCCATATGGGTGCCACTTTGAGACCCGGCTGCTCCACTTCTGGTCCAGCTCCCTTCTAATGTGCCTGGGAAAGCACTGAAAGGTGGCCCAAGTCCTTGCACCCATGTGGGAGACCCAGAAGCTCCAGGTCTCCTGGCTCCAGCTTCAGCCTGGCACAGCCCTGGCCATTGTGACCATCTGGGCAGTGAATCAGCAGATGCAAGATTGATCTCTCGCTCTCACTCCATCTATCATTCAAATACAGAATAAATCTTTAAAGAAATAGGCCAAACTCACTTTTAGAAAGTGAGTAAAGAGAGAGGCAAAAGAGACTTTAAATCACAGTTTGGAAATAGATGGTTTCTAAGTTGGTGAAATGCACACATTTCTGCCTCGACTCACTTCTTATGCTGCCCTTGACCTTTACCCCTGGCGCAACAGAAACCATCACCTTGGTGGCATAGACTCTTGATGTAAACAAATGTGATTAAATATTTAGCTGTAGATGCCCAGTAAATCTTATTAGCTTTATTAGATTCTAATCAACATAGGAAAGTCTCCTTGGTTGATGATTTATTTGTTTTTGTACCACTAGGCTTTACTGTAATTTGAAAAGTGAATATGCCTGTGCTTTGTTCAGAGGCCTCCCTCAACCTGGAGTAGAAATGGGCCCACTCTACGGGATTATTGTAAGGAGAAAATGATGTAAGACATTGTGGACACTGTGCAGAATACAAAGTAATAAGAGAAATGGGTTATAACTTTGTGATATTTGCATTAAGATTTGAGCAGCGGAAACCGTTAGGGCCCTTGCAATGAAGCCAGCACACTTCACACTACCGAGGAGGAGTGTCGTGGGCACTGAGAGTGAACTCTCCCACGTGGGCCCCTCTGGCTGTTTGGAAACCTCCACAGTTAACCCTGCGGCGGAGAATGCAGAACCTGTTATCTCTGAGTTAGCTTCTCATTTCTCGGCTGTGAGAGAGCTCTATGGGTTTCTCCTGGGTCTCCCTGTAACGCGCTGGTGAACATGACTGGCCTTTTCTTCTCCTTTGTTTGCAAAACCTCCCTGCATTCCTGGAACACAGGAATTCTTGAAGCTGGAGGGTCAGCATAAGTGTACAAGTCAGGTGGGAAAGCTGGGCGGAGTCCTCCGTGTTTGCTGCCCCCACCCTCCTCACTCTGGGTTCCGTATGAAGGCCTGGTGACAGTGATCATGCATATTATTGGATATCATGCTGTATATTGTCTTTGGATTTGCATAAGGATATTGCTTTCCAGGGCCCAAGTCATCTCAAATGAGAACCTGGCTCCCAGTGTTGTTGGGGTCCTTCTTCATGTGTTTGTATTGCTTCGAGTGAGCTAATCAATATTGGACTGTTAGGCTGCTCTGAGAGCGGTAGTTCTATGATTGATTTGATGCAAAGAACTCCAGATGTGTTATAAAAATTAATCCATATTATCTCTAAGGTGATAAAGCAAAGAGACTTAAAAAGTGCCATTTGAAATGGAAGTGGTAGATCCCAAAGCAGAGCCTGTCAACTGACCACCCCACTCAGAAGGTCATCCATGATTCTGCATGTGTGGTTGGGCTAATAAGTCTCCATGTTCTTAAAGTTCTGTGGGTTGAAATCAGACCTTTAATGTTGCTTTGGGGGAATGTTTTGTTTGCTTCTCTGTGCACACAGTGGAGTTTAAGGAAGTGCAAATGACCACAGTAATCAGCTCTTGGCCTGTGGGAAGTGTTCCTTTCAAGTGTCGGAGTCGGAGTGACTTAAAAAGGGCCCAAGAAGATAGAACTGCACTCACTGAGCCCTGGCTAGCTGCCCCACTTTTGCTGCAAACGCCATAGGCTTTAACCTTGTGCCATGGGCTTTGAGCAGAGTAGAGGGATTCTGCAAACCTCTTAAATTAATTATAAATGTGGTACGTATGTGTGTTTTCCTGGGGTGAGTTCTGTTTTTGGATTATCGGGTTCATTCCTCCAAGTGATCATAAACTGTGATTACAGGCATAGAGCTTGTGCGTCGAGAGGACCTTGCACTGCTAGTTAGGGCACCAGGCCTATGATCCGGTTCCTACCTTCAAGTAGTCTTTTCCTCCATTTGTCTTGAGCATTTTGTTTTTGGCCTGTATGAAAAGGTGAGTGGTGGCAGTTCTCACCATCCGCCTGAGGTGAGAAGTGAAAAACATGAAGTATGTGAAAATCCAGTGGCAAGTTACAGTGCATTCTGTCACATAAGAAGTCATAGTCATCTGTGGATTGATGTTATGAATTATTCACAGCAAATTTTTAATGTAAGATCTATAACATATCCACTTCTAGAATTTCTCTTTAAATTTTGAACTGTTATTTACTGTTAGCCTTGAGGAAATATAATTAGGAAATAGCCTGTGCCTTTCTGACCCCTCTGTCTCTTTGCTTTCCTTCTCATACCCAATCCCCAGAACCCAGCCTGTTGATTCAGGTCTGGGGTGTTAGAATTGGGGGTTGGCTGCCGCTCTGTGAGCATATGTCCCATGACCCTCTTGCTGGATCTTGCCTCAGTGGAACCTCAGAGAGCTGGTGCCACTCCTGAGGCCAAGGCAAGAGTGGTTTCTTGAATTCTTTACAGGAATGTGATTGCTTTAAAAGAAGGACAGTACAGCAAGTTTCAAACTTTTGTCAGAGGGGTTTCTGAGTGTGATCTGCACAAGTGTGCTCTCTGGAAGCCCTCTAACCTCCTTCGAAGCTGGAGAACTGGGGAGGCGTCCTGTTGAACGAATTCCCTTGCTTATGCGGATTCTAACTTTGCTGATATCTGCAGTCATTTGTGACACATTCACAAAAGTAAGACTTCTTTTTAAATTAAGACAGTCTCAGTTGTTAACAGTAGAGCAAGTGAGTCCATTCTGTTTTCTGCCCCTGTAGACACTCCGTGTTTGCTCTGCACAGCTGTCCTCTGCTCTTCCTAAGGGAAGAAAGCCAACAGCATACTTAATTTCCTCCAGCAAAGGAGAGGAGCTCTTTTGATCGTCACTAATGGAACCTCTGCTCTATTCTGTCCTACTTTCCATCCATCTCTTTGTGCCTTTATCAAGTCAATATAGGATGCTTTTGATCCTGGGTACCTTTTTGATCCCAGGTATGTTTTGATTCTATGCTTATGAATACAGATATTTTAATAATTTCCCCTGCTTTGGGCTGAAATTATTTTCATCATGGTCAGTTGTTCACAGGAATTAGAATTCCTTATTCATTATTTGCTACAGTTAATTTTACTGATAACTTTTACATTTGTAGAGTAGGCTTATGTCTTCCTCTTTTGCTTTGTAGTGTTTTTGAGTATTTCCTCCAAGCCCCAGTTTTTTAGCTCAAATTCTGCATACCTAAATTTTTTGTCAAAGAGGTGTGAATTTTCTACTGGTCTTTAGTTAATATATATTTTTTATGTTGTATTGGCCATTTTTATTTATTTATTTATTTGACAGGTAGAGCTATAGACAGTGAGAGAGAGAGAGAGACAGAGAGAAAGGTCTTCCTTCTGTTGGTTCTCTCCCCAAATGGCCGCCACGGCCAGAGCTGCACCGATCCGAAGCCAGGAACCAGGTGCTTCCTCCTGGTCTCCCATGCAGGTGCA